AGCAGCTAAAGAGGAGCAGCTAAAGAGGAGCAGCTAAAGAGGAGCAGCTGAAGAGGAGCAGCTGAAGAGGAGCAGCTAAAGAGGAGCAGCTGAAGAGGAGCAGCTGAAGAGAAGCAGCTAAAGAGGAGCAGCTGAAGAGGAGCAGCTGAAGAGGAAGACTTGAAGAGGAGCAGCTGAAGAGGAGCAGCTGAAGCGACGCGTTAGCAGCAGCATCGTTACCTTGGAACATGAACTGCGCGACGAGCTGACCGTGCTCGTGCCTCGCCGCCTCGGTCTTGAACAGCCCCCGCACGGTTCTACCGGAGGCCGCCGAGCTGAGCAGCAGCGCCGCCACAAGAGCCGCTAAACTCCGCGACATGTTCCGCTGAGCCGGCGTCACCAGCAGCCGCGGATTCAATGAGCCACGAACACAGGACAGACAGCTGCGTCAAGATGGCGACAGCTAGCGCCAAACCGGAAAAGGACTGTTTAGGCCTTCAGAATAAAGGTGGATTTCCCTACCGCGAGCATCATTTAAGTTGAAGCCGAGGACTTTATGAAATTATACGCTGTAGTTTAAAATGTATGCATATGTATCCGGAATAAAAATGTTAACAGGGCCTGTTAAGTAAATAAATAAAATTTAACAGATTTTTTTTTTTTTTCAAGGACAGGACTCAGTTAAAATAAGTTCCAGTTTTATCATGAGCCACAGTGAAAGTTTTAAATTATTTTTTACACAGCTGCAGAATGTGCGGCATAAATGTTTATTCCCCAAATACAAAATACAAAAAAAACGTAATCATAATTTTTGTAACGATACTGGAAACTCTTACTTCGAAAAGAACAACCGGAAACAACAAGAGTACTTTATCTCACTTGAAAATATGACGTCACTCCAATGGCCATGTTAACGTTTTGACTGATCTGGGAATTGCCCAATCAAACTACGAGTCGATTCTTACATCACGTATCACAGCCAATCAGACAGTAGAACGCGCTAATTGCTCCGCCCATTCCCTACGTGTCAACAGTGCCGTAAAACGCCAGCAACTGTCGCGCGCCACAGAAGCCAACGGAGGATGATTAAGAAGTTTATTTTATTTTATTAGTGAAACAAACGATGAATAAAATGACGATTTGTGTTTAATCTTAAAGTGAGAGCTGACGGAAGAGCAGAAGATGGACTTCACCAGGACGGTTTTAGTGACAGGAGGCTCCGGATTCATGTGAGTTTTGTAGATTAAACTAAGAATGTAACACTTTATTATTAAAAAATGAATAAATGTGTATTTACAGCGGCTCTCATCTGGTGTGTTCACTGGTCAACCATCATCCTGACTGGAGGATTATTAATCTGGATAATGTAAGTCCGTGTGCGTTTTAGTTTGTGTTTAAATTGATCATCTCAGTAACATCTGGATGTTCTTTAATGTCACAGCTGGATTACTGCCACAGCCCCAGGAGCCTGGAGAGCATTGAAAGCAGAAAGAACTACACCTTCATTTGGGTAAAAGTGAAAAGTTTCTGTAAATATCGAGTGGGATGGTCTGAAGGAAGCCCTTGTTGTGTTTGGACGTCCAACAGGGAGACGTGTGCAACTCTCGGCTGCTGGACCGCATCTTCAGCACGGAGGACGTCGACGTCGTCTTTCACCTGGCGGCCAAGACCCACGTAGGTGAGCAGCAGCTCGGGCGGTGACCCGGTCCGGGTTCAGCTCAGGTCTTGATGCGTTCCTCCTCGTCCCCAGAGTCCTCGTTCGAGTCGTCCTCCAGCTTCCAGCGGGTCAACGTGGACGGGACCAGGGTCCTGCTGGACGCCGCCCACCGGGCTCCACGCCAGCCGCGGCGCTTCATCTACGTCAGCAGCGACGAGGTCTACGGAGGCAGCCGGGGGGAAGTCGGTGTTTTTTATTTTAACTATCAATAATGGTGTACCTCAAGGCTCAGTCTTAGGTCCCACTCTCTTTACAGTTTATATAAGATGACTCTCTTTGCTGATGATACTGTTGTTTATTGCTGAGCTAAAACAGTCGCTAAGGTTTTCCTTAGCAACTGGTGTTGGTGTCATGTCGGGTGATATATGTTGTCCGTCGAAAACAGGTCTCTCTTGAAACTCAGTCCTCATGACTCAGTGAGACTAACCTGGATAAATAAAGGTTGAATTAATGTTTCTGACCCGGTTCGTGAACGGACCTGTGAATGTTTCGGTGGATCAGGTTTGTCTCGACCCTCCTGCAGGTGTTTGACGAGTCCAGCCCGTTGAGACCGACCAACCCGTACGCCGCCACTAAAGCAGCCGCGGAGCGCCTGGTCCGGTCCTACTGGGACAAGTATCAGGTAAACCGTCTCCGTTTGGACCGTGTCCATCTGGACTCTGATCTGACTCATGTCCTGCCGTTTGTGTCCCCAGTTTCCCGTCATCATCACCAGGAGCAACAACGTCTACGGGCCTCGGCAGTACACGGAGAAGGTATCGGCTCGGTTTTATTATCGCTGCGTCTGCAGGTTTGAGGCTGGTCTGATGAATCTTTGTGTTTCAGGTGATCCCCAGGTTCCTCACCCTCCTGCAGGAGAACAACAAATGGTCTCTCCGCACCTCGGCGTCAGCATTAGTCTGAGTAAGACCCAACACGAGAGAGTGAACGTGGTTTCTTCTCTGCCGCAGCACCGTTCAGGGAACCCTCCCTGTCTCCCGCCACTTCCTGTTCGTCAGCGACGCCGTCGACGCCTTCCTGCTGGTCCTGGAGAAAGGTGTCGCGGGAGAAATCTACAACGTGGGGACGAGCTTCGAGATCCCCATCGCGCAGCTGGCGCAGGAGCTCGTCAGGATGGTGGGTTTTATTCGATCGCTGCGTCTGTTGGGAACGTCTGCTCGTAAATCTGTTCCCGGATCTGTTCCAGGTGAAGAACGTGCCCAGGTCTGAGGTCAATGACTGGCTGGAGTTCGTGCCCGACAGGTGAGTGAACCACTTTCAGGAAGTAGACTCGGCCCGACCGCGACGCTGAGGTTAAAGGTTTTGTTTGGTGTGGAAGGCCGCAGGTCGACCTGCGGTACCCGATCCGGTGCGAGAAGCTGCAGCAGCTGGGCTGGAGGGCGGAGGTCTCCTGGGCTGAAGGAATCAGGCAGACAGGTCCTCCACCAACACCAGAACCATTGGTTCCTCTCTGTTCAACGTTACTTACCTCTCTCTTTTGGTCCCACAGTGAAATGGTACCAGGACCACCCGGACTTCTGGTCCGCGAGGACCAAACGAAACGATAAAAACTCTCCAAACCCCTGGGCTCAGTTCGCCCCGTGTCTTGACTGACAGGACGCTAAAGAAGCCGAGACTTACTTTTTGCTGCACAGATGGCCGATCTACGTCTCAAACAGCTGACGTGAGCCCATCCAAAAACTGGTGGTTCCCAACCATGGTCCTTGAGGAACACCATCCTGCACATTTTACTTGTTTCCCTGCTTTGACACACCTGAGCTGAAAGAACGGGTGATTGACTTTTATTCACTGAACGTCTTGGAGCAGGAAACAACTGAAACATCAGGATGGTGTTCCTCAAGGACCAGTGTTAGGAACCATGGCTCTAGACCTAGGCGGAGCCTCCCAAAGCAGTCTTACCTGTAAATTAATACACTTTATTTTTATAATGAACACTTTTAGATGCCGTCTTTTGTTACTTATGAAAAATGTTCCCAGTTTGCTGTCATTGGTTTCAAAACAAACTAATTTTATTTGTTAACGTCGTTTTCTTTTTGTTTTAATCTACGGTTAAAAACTGGACTGAGATCGAGAAAAGAGTTTTATTGACTTGATAAACGTGAAATTTCCTCTTTGGGAAGTTTTCAGATGAGAGAAAACTGATGTTGTGTTAGTGAAGAAATATTCATGTATGTGGAGTCACTTTAACTCCGAAACACAACAGTTAATTTATTTGTAACGTTCCTTTTGCTAAATTTAATGATCTGCAGCTTCACAACAGGAACGTGTTCAAACTGGTTTTGTATTTTCACCCATTTAACCAGACATTTTTGTCACTTTCAAAATAAAAGCTTTCTACCCAAAAGATGGAAACTTGTTTATTGAGCGGTTGTAAAGTTACGGAGTGAAACGTACATTTAAGTCACTGCTTTACACTCTGCTGCGGACACGTCCTGAGCGACCAACGTTCCACGTCAGGCGTCTCCGTCGTGTCCGACTGGACGTTCTTCAGCTGCACGGACTCGTTTCCGTCGGTTTAGAAGGTTGGAAGTCTCTTATCTGAGAATATATTCACGTAGCAGCGATGAGTCGGTGCCCGAGGCAGCAGAGTGACGGATCCTGTCCACCACCAGGGGTGGAGCCAGCAGGGGGCCCAATGGTGGCCTTGGCCCCCCACAGATTAATCTGTGGCCACCCCAATCATTTGAGAATCAGAATAAGATTTATTATCATTGCAGCGAGAATATGTTCGTACAGTCTGAAGGACGGGCGGAGTGCACGTAGCTGCTGCTACGAGGGCGCGGCCCCTTATCTTTTTCAGGTAGAAATGGAGAAAAGGCCACGAGGATGGGTAGTGGTATTATGAAAAAGATCTCTTCACATCTCGTCCCATCAGGACACGATTTAAGACGTTAAAAAAACCACCTGCCAGCAGAACATTTCTAAACACATGACGTGCATTTGATGACAAGACGGTGAGAGTTGTCCATGAAGAACTTTCACGTAGTCCTGATAAGATGTTGGTGTCAGCCAGCACAGTTCTGATGAGCCTCCACAGAAGTTCTCAGGGGGGGGTGGGGGCGATAAACGAAGCTTTTCCTTAGTTGGCACATGTCCCAGGAGAAGTTAAGTCGTCCTGTTTCCAGGCCAATGGGGAGTTGGATTCAGATAACCACGGTGGTTGATGTTCTTCAGGCAGACTCTTGTTTCTTCTCAGCATCGAGTCTCCGCCGCTCCTGTTTCCTGGAATATCTTGTAAAAACATTGTTGTCCATTGTTGTCATCACTCTTTGTTAAATCAGGTCTCTCTTGTAAATGAGTCCCCGAGGCTCAATGGGACTAACCTGTAGAAATAAAGATTGAATGAATGAATGAGTGACTCGTATAGTGGTACTTTCAATTAAATCCAGTTTATTTATAAAGCTCCAAATCACAACAAAGTTGTCTCAGGGACTTTACAGGAACATTCACATAAAAGCCAGTTAGTAAAGTTCTCTATGTAAGGAATCCAGCAGACAAGATGAATCTTGGCTTCGTTGCAGTC